GCATACCCATAAATTGATAAATGAGTGAAACTAAAAATTTTGCTGCTGTCTCAATTTTTTCTACGGCTGTATTTCAATTAATCTTTCCACTGCAGACATTCAGTTGTAAATCCATAGTAATGAAAAACAGCTGGAAAGGAAGTTGATGTAGGCTATTTAATACGGAGAGGGAGACAAAGTTATAAATCAATTAATTAGTCTGTACTGATTATCACAATTTTGGCTCACACATACAAATTTGTCTGGTGCTTGATTTGAAAACGGGCATTAAATATATCATAAACTGAGTCTGTATCACTGGATTTTCTGCGGGGCTGTAGGATGAAACTCCATGACTGATAACGAGCACTAGATAATTAGAAAAATGCACAATAAACGACAGACAAATTACTATATAACTGAATTACTGTATTGCTTTGATTATTTATACACATTTTCTGGCAAAACTGAATGAAAAGACTATTTCGCAAAGCTGAATGAAAAGATACTGAGCCATTACTCACATACCTAACAGCGTAAAGTAGTAAAAATGTATAACGACTAGATTTTTTATACACAATAGGAGAGAACGCCTTTACTTTTAGAGAAAATCTTTTCATCTTCGGACTCCGGATCTCCGGAAGGGGCAGAAAAGAAGGTACAAATCTATGCTTTAGTGTCAAAACCACTTCTCGGTTTTTCAAATGTTCAGCACCCACGAATCTGCAACTAATGAAAACGTGTTAATGGAAAAAACACCCACCTTGGAGGCATTCGGGGGCTCTGCTTCCTGACGTGTCCGGGGGAGCTGCATCAAACAGGACCATTTTGGTGGTTGTGGATGGATGGAAAGCACATTTCCTGTTGTTTCTCGCTGTGACGCTGCTGGTCGCTCTACCTGATCTTTTTTTCTGGGTTTTCTTAACTAATAGTATGCTTCTTACTGGTGCCAAAACACGGTACTAGGTGTATCTGCTATCTTATATAATTTGCTTGTGGCACGACACAGGGGAAACCGTGGTTCTGAAGGAGCAGTAACAGCTGTAACAGTGTAACTTAATACCAGCAGGGATTGTACCACAGTTGGTGTTTTTTTATTATTATTATTATTATTAATAATAATAATAATAACTATTATTATTATTGATAATAATAATAATAATATTGTAGTAGTCGTAGTAGAACTAGTCATTCAAATAATTTTATTAATAATTATATAGAATATTAATAACATAGTATTTGTTTTCTGAACAGTAACATTTTTCATTTTGGTTTGTGAGTTTCACCTGGGCATCTAAAGCTTATTTGGAATGTAGCGAGTATATTACTTTTTCTGCTGAGAAGGTACCCGCCCCCCCCCCCAAAAAAAAAAAAAACACATCTCTGTGAAAATGATTTTTTCAGTTTTATAGTGGGTGGGATTAGGTCCCGCCTCGGCTCTGTCCGTGTCTTTGTAGACGTCCTCGTGCAGTGAGCTTGACGAGGCAACAGCCATGAGGCTTTTCAAAAACGTGAATATATTTCGCTCCAGGGACGGCGTCAGATTTCCTTGTATCGAAATCTGTGTTTTATCAAGTTTTACGAAAAGCCTGTGGACCCCCAGTTGGACACACCTGTTATAGCAAAGAAAAATTCCCTAAATGGCAGCTATGTGATGGTGTGCTCACTGTTCATTCATTTGCATTTTGGTGTCATGCAGGCACACATTTTGAAATGAGATGAGGTTTCATTAATATAAGGGTTACGATCCATATAATCAACCAGACTGTCTAAATCAAAGTAGGCCAAGTTATTCAGCGTACTATAAAATTACTAATAATTACCAGTACTGGTAATTAATAGTGTCTCATAGTAATGGACCAGGAACATAATGTGCATGTGCATGTTCATAAATATCCCTTATACAGGCATTCATGCCTCTGGCAGACACTGATTCATTTTAATTTATTATTTACTTTCAGCAACGTTGTTTTGATATTATGCTGTGTCACATTAAAGAGATTAACCTTCTCTGTCACATTATAATATGCACATATTTATTTTTCATAATGATTTTTTAAAAGTCAAATCATGATGTGTTAAAAAAATTTGCCATCAGAAAACCGATCTCCTGGACATGGAGACTTGGAGGATGGAAAGGGAACATTTATTGACTCCCTTGGGATATAACAAGTGAACATCATGCAAAATTATTTTGCTCTCTAACCAGAAATAAACAAACTGCAAACTCCTGAGAGCTGGACTTTCGCTCCCGGCTTCTCTCTCGCTCTTGCTCTCTCTCTCTTTCTCACAGAGACCAAACTTCACACAATTACCAAATGATTAAAGTTGCGGTGCTTGCCCGCCAGTCTTGCCCCATCCCCGAAATATCTGCACCTGCCCCACATGTTACAACAAGCCCAACAAGCAAACAAATGTTGGAGGGCATATTCTATAAACCCAGTAGGATAAGGCCTTTCTCCCCCAGTTATGGTCAAGCCCAGGCATGAAGGTAAGAAATGCTGAGGTGTGACAATGAATGACCAATACATTTGTGATCCAAGATTGAACTGCACACTGTTGCAGAAGAACATCACCTTGCCTTTAAAATCGCAGGATTTTCCACAGATCTTCATGACAAGATTAACCATCCATTAACAAAACAACCTATACGGTGTGCATATGGAAACCAGTATAGCGCAGTTCCAGGTTGTGCGTATCATGTGCAAGCAGATTGATGGTGACTGAAGCGTCATACATTATTTTGATGGCTTATGAGCATTTGAGATGATTTCGTTTTTTTTTTTTTTTTGTTGTTTCTCAGTTAAAACAGTGGCAGAAAGAAAAAAAATCCTACGCAGAGGTTTGCAGTGCTCAGGAACTAGGTAAACCATGCCAATATTCAAACCTCAGTACTGGACAGAAGAGGCTTTCAGCTGACATCAGCCCCGTGGTTTATTAATAACAACAAGAGACAGGGCTGCAAATAAACAAAGGCAGAAGCTACAGTATCTGACCTATGATTCATAGTGTGTGACGTTAAACTATGAATTATTCATTTCACATAATTTATACATAAAACATATGCCCCCCCCCTCCCCCAGCATTAATTTACTGGTAATCCTTTCTGGTATAGATGGCATGTCCATCTACATGGAATTTAAACAAAATTTGTTTGGCACACGTCTTTCTTCTCTTTTAATTTCCTGAAAAATCCCATTTGTTGTGGCATGCTTCCCCCCCCCAGCCCCCCCATCGGCAATCTGGTTTTCTTGCAGTGTGAAATGGCTAAAACTGAAAAGCTGTTAGTGGCGACACTTCTAATTAGGGTGACACGAACAGGGCACGAAAGGCGCATCGCCGCCCTGGGACCAGCCTGCAGGTTCAGCCTTGGTTCGGGTTTCCTTCACCTGGTCTCATTTAAGCTCTTGCTAAACTTCATTTCATTTTTAATGTCTCATTATGTCTCTGGAAGTTAATACAGGGCTCTACTGAAGCCCTGCAGGTTGGAAAGTGACTGCTGACACCTGACTGAACCTCAGGTCACCGATGGGCCAGCATCGCTTTCTGACCCTTGTCTCGATAAGGAAAACCCACTAAGCCAATTGAACTAATGTGATATCTGCACTGCTGGCATACTCTCAAACAGTAGCTGCTTCGAAAGATTCATCACCCCATAAACAGATGTCTCTCACCCCTACACTGGCTCTCGACCCCATTCTCAATGCTGGGAATCGGGAATCCAATCCCAATCATTTGATATGTATCAGGTGATAGCCCCGGCCGCTTCCCAAGGTACCTTGACGTTTCTCGGGGGCTGGAGTTGGCTCTGAGGGTTCCACAGAAGCGGCATTCTGTTGTGTGCAGCAGTATCCCTTGGACAGCTGTGTCTGCATATTCATGAACGGTAGGCAGATGTCACCTTGCAACAGGAAAACTTCCTGTTGAAGAATTAGGCATATTACAAGTTATTAAAGTTAATGCCATTATGAGGCATGGGATCATTAGGAATCCCCTGAGGTTTCGACACATTCAGGTCTTCCTCTTTCGTTTGCTGATCACGATTTTCCTTTTGTCAAACAAAAACATAAAGACCCTGGTATCTGAGTACACAGATAGTCCTGAAAGTCCCTCATACAGTGAGCAGTCAGCAGTTCAATAATTCATTGGGGCTGTGGAAGGAAGACGATGTCCAATCAGGTCGATAAGTTTCCTGGATTTCCTTTTGAGATAACAGGAAGAATTCTCAAGGAGCAAGAAACACAGGAAGACAGTGATGGTCTTTGATGCCTGGTATATGACTGACATCCTGCAGCTGTAACCTTCCATTCACCTGGAGAAACCAGCCACAGGAATCTGTAACACGTACACATGGCTTAACACCTGGACAGTCTTCAAGAAGACTTAAATCCGAGCTTATACTGTAAATATATGTACTTCTGTAATACTAGTTCCATGATAATTCCGTAACAATAACACATAATTTCATTATTTCTGCTCTATTTAATATTGTATTGGTAACCAATCATTCTGGGAAAGGAATTTTAATAATTTAATCTACAAGAATTTATCTTCAGTGAAGTATGTTGCCCTAGCTGAGAAGATATCAATGTGGAGCAATTCAATTGCAGCTACTCTGCATAGAATAGCCTCGTTAGGGTACAGGGTATCATCAAAAACACAGAGAGCTGCACCTCTAGCACCAAATAAGGCCCAGACAGTTTAGAAATGAAGTTTGAAAATATCTCCAATTAGATCGAAAAAGTTCAAAGCTCTCACTGGTCAATTGTATGAAAGCAGAGTAAAAAGGATTTTTTTTTTACTTGCATGTAGACACCATTTTGCTGTTGTGTGGCCGAGCTGATTACTGAAACTATTGAGCGTCTTGCCCCCACAGAGCTCTCTATTCCCTCCAAATTAACTTTAATGCCTGTGTACCTTTTCATGTTTTGTTCTTTTATACGTTTTCTTTTAAAAATGTGAAGATGACCACCACTTTAAAAACAACAAAGCTGGTAAAGTAATAGTACACAAATACTGAATAAGGGAAATAGTTATTTTATTATTTTTTTTTAAAAAAGTAAAAATGATCTGAACCAGCACAAAAATTACAAAAAAAACATAAGCTGTAATTAAACAAAAACTAAATGTTTCTCAAGGGGAAAATAATGGCAAACTACAGAAGATCTAACACTCTTAGGCATTACTGTTATTTTTTTGGAAAATGTAGGTATATAAACCAAAAGAGAATTTTACATTTGTTCCAAAAATAAATATGTTGCTATTGCCCTGGGTTCTTTCTCTCCTCTCCACACTAGTCTTTATCTGTCTTCCAGGAGTCCTCCAGGCCAACAGAGGGTGGAACGACCAAGAGAATGCCTATGGCAAGGTTGGGTCATCAATTGCATGGGCAGGGTTACATGTGAAAGACACGGTGATTGCAAAGCGCGTCCCCCATTCAACTTTTTCCACTCTGTGGAGGTTTTCTGATCCAGAAGAGAAGAAGGACACGCGACCTGTACAGAGAACAGAAAATGGATGACCAAAGGAGACAGACAATCGAGGATGGAACAAAAAATGTGGGACTAGGGAAAAGTGATGGATCAGATGAGTGTCTTGACCTTTAGATGCAGAGATGACACACATTTACCATATTTAAAACCATCTCATATTTTTATCTTTGGTGTTTAAACAAACACGCCTGTCTGACTGAATAAGCACTTCTGGCAGGTACAGAGAAAGGACACTGATGTGCAGAGCACAATGTTTCACTGTGTAAAGAATAAACAGTACTGACTAAAACCATTTTGTTGGCCAAAGTCATGTTGTGAGCTGTCCTGAAACAATGACTGTCATACCATTTACATGTGGCACTTCATTACTGGCACAATTATCCCGACATAAAACAGAAGCAAACAGCATATGATGACTGTACAAACAGTGCAATGCCACCAATGAGCGGAGAGCCATACAAAATTACTTTTCTAATTCAAAACTGATTATGTACATTAGGCTGTCACATTTGCACCCTCGTCCAACTAAGTCAATAACGCCAAACATCCACTTTAGTTCCCCAAAGAAACAAATTTGCCCTTTGTTATGAATATTTACTATTTTGTATACACGTTTTTAAGCCAACTGTATATTATTCATATTTACTGGGCATGGGATAATGATTGTCATGAACCGGAACAATTATTCAACAGTTAAAGTGAAAAGACTTGAGACAGTATTGTCCAATGAAATGTTAGAATTTTAATAGCAAGCTTTTATATACTGTAACTATACTGTAACATTCTGAAAGAATGAATTCTAGAACAAAACCTATTAAGTTGCATTAGGTCCATATCTGCAATATATAATAATGTCATGCATCATAATGCATCAAAAGGGGGACACAATGATATTTAAATCCAGTTCTTTATCCAAATGTTTAGTTACCTGAACTGCCTTCAGATACACTGCACAGAGTGCAAAGCGTACATTTCAAAGGACAAGTTTTCAACAAGATTCAACTGTCAAGGCAAAAAAATGCAGTTTGAAAAGTGTTGCAAAATTGAATCACTGGGGAGATCTATCTAGATCGTGCATTTGAAGCAATGTTATCTGAATGACCATTAAATAGATTTTCATTTAAAACATTATTGTGTTCCCTTGAGTTTATGCTCATTAAGAAGTCAGTCAGGTATCTATACTGGCAGCCGTAGCAAATGTACTGTGTCACTCCCTTCACCAAAGCTGATGACAGCACCCCCTGGTGGAAGTGCACCCCCTGGTGGAAGTGCACCCCCTGGTGGAAGTGCACCCCCTGGTGGAAGTGCACAACATAATGGTAAGACTTCTCTATCATATGCATCCAACGCCATAATGCAGGTCATGTCTACAGCTAGTTTATCAGGAATCACTTTATGTCATTACGAATGTTGCACGATATTCCCTTAATGAAAATGAGGAGTTTTTAAAGTCCCCATTTAATCCAAAAATCAACTGACTACTATGCTGATTATAGGTCATATAGTCAGTAAATTATATTTGTTACATTATATATACACTGTATGTGACTGTATATGTCATAGTATATGACACACTTCCACTGAATTGTTTTACTTTATTGTGCATCTCACTAAAAGGCAGATAATTTGCATCCCTGACTGTGTCATAGTTTACTTTGTCTTCTACCTGCACAACAATGACAATATTTTGAGATAAACTAGAAAATGTAAAAGGAAATTTAGAGCACCGATGCACCAACTAAATATTATGGCATTATAATATCACTGTAACAATAAGGGGAATTATCACCAATAACTGTTAAATGACTTAATTAATTTTAGTATGTGGAGAATGTACCAGCTCGTCTTTATGCCACTATACTGTTAGTGTGCATCAGTTAGTTTGAGACTAGCTGAAAAATTTGTACAATTTTTATGTGATAGTTTAAAGCTGAAAACCTACCTATGGTAGCAAAACATACAAGGAACACCAATGCAGGACAGGGCATTCTCAGTCACACTCACACACACACACACACACACACACACTCACTAACTCACACACACATACACACACACACACATACACACACACACACACACAGACTTATGGATACCTAAGGAGCAAATGGGTCAGCATATGCAGATTATAAAGTCTTATGAAATATACAAGCATTTAGGAGCCTCACAGAATGCTGCATCAGTAAGCAATTAGTAACTATAACTTCATTATCAAAATCCCAAAAAACAAACTATATACATTTAAAATCACTGTACTTTAGAGGACTGCAGTAACCTTGGCAGATAGAAACTTAAAGATTTTACGCATGCATTCAACTTGAAACAGTTTACAAAACATTTAGAATTTAAAAATTCAGTTATGACAAAATCAGAGACGCTTCATTAGTCAAAAACTGAAGAATGTGACACATTGTTCCAAACTTAGGCAGCGAACCCTGAATAGTGAAGAGAACATAATGGTTATGAAGGGACTGGGGGGAAATCAGAGTGGGTGGCTAATGATGACAGAAGTATGCCCGACTATCACCTGGCAAAGAAAGGCTGACCTCTCAAAATAAATTACTTCTGCAAAATTAAAAAAGCAGTGATAGAAAAGGACTTCACCAGAATCATATTTATGATGCAATAACGAGCATTCAGACATTACATGTAGAATTATAATGTACACAGGTCTCCTGCATAGGCTGATGTGATGCGGCACACCTGCTCAGGTCTTGTTAATGAGATTGTTGCCCACAACTTAGCAATATGGGTGACAACCTAACATTATAAAAAGGAGAACTCTCTGCACAAGGGCCAGATTAATGGACTTGCATGGCAGCAGTATAAAATACGCATTTGTACTTCTATAAAATGAACATTTCATCTGTAATCTTCATTTCACTTTAATTAGACATTTAAAGTTTAATACACCAAAGAATGTATGAATATTGTACCAAGTTATATTCAAAGTACAAGGTTAAATTAAATTAATTTATAATTTGTTGACAACTAGGTGTGTCACGTCAATATTCCTGCATATTACTGTAATATTTTTTCATCTTAAGATCCTATCAATTTCAATCTCAGATGGATCCAATCGGAGCTTAATTGAATTGTATCTTCTTTGAATCTTATCATACCAAATCATTGCTGAGTTGAAGCATAGGAAGTTCTTTACCTGTCAAATCACAGACAATGTACTAACATGCTTGTCTTATCTCAGAGGGAAAGTACACACATCCCTACTGATTAACAGTTAACTGAAAGACAGCTGTTTACAATGATGTTTGTACAATGTTGGTACCCACAGCACAAAAGGCATATCAAGCGTTATCTGAACACTTTTTTCTACATCACAAATCACTAAAGGATGTGCTACTACTTAAGCTGCTCATCAAGTAAAACCTCAAGCAAAAAATATAAAAGGCTTTATGTAGACAGTTCACCATCAACTAAGCCAAATATCCAGATGCCTCCCATGCTTTACAGTTTACAGTGACCTTACACCAGGGTTTATGGATTCCTTTTATTCTGCTGTCATTCTCCTCCACATGACCTCGCTATTCGATTCTTAACACTTTCGTAGTCCTTCCCTTCATCTTTCCTTCCATCCTTTCTCCCACTGCTTTCTTGCCAGGCCTCCTCTATCTCCTTTGTGCTCCCATTTTTGCTGTTCTTTCAGAAGCTCTTGGATGCTGATTGTCACACTGCGGCTGCAATTATGCAGCATTCACCACAATTATACTATGCAATTACTTCAATGAGACCGACCAGGCAACTTACTCAATGTCACATACTAACTGGAGCGACCTTGAAATTAGTGTGACTTTAGAGGTTGATTTACACACTCATTGTTACAGTGCTGTCACAGCCTCTCATTTCAACTGTTAAAATTTTTCCAAGACCTTAACAAGAACACTATCACTTAATTTCTCTACTCTTATTCTTTTATACAGTAAATCTTGAGTAGAAGTGTAACAATATTTTGTCACAAAATATTTATTGTACTCCTATAATAGGTTGCAAAAACATGAAAATGAAATAATGAAATAATGCAACAATATGAAATCAGTTTCATTTAATACTGTATGAAAGTCACTCATTCTCCCTTATTCTTAAATGCTGTTTTAATGGCATTAGGCACAATCAACAACATACGTTAACAAATCAGCTGAAATTTTAGGGTGTGGCTAAGCACACAATTAACTAAAAATGGAGTCAGGCAAAGTTGAAATTAAGGATGCTCATATTTTAAGTCTGCTCACTGGCAGTAATTTGTTCTGATAAAAAAAGAAAACAGCAGGAACAAACTTGATAAGACAAAGACCACCTGACGTACATTTTGACACACCTTGCGGCTAACAAATCGAGTATGTTGAACCAAGTAGAGTAGCCTACCACCACTGAAACAAATCCAGCTCACCATGCTGGAAGAACCCCTTGAAGATTTTTTCAATGATTCAGCGGCACAGCCCCCGAGTGGAGTACAGCAAGAAATTGGGATGTACAGAAGACTATTACACTCACTAGATGTCCACTGAAATGGTGAAGTGAAAATGCTTCAAAGTATCCACTGCTTTTCCCACTGGCCAAAACATACTGTATCTTTCAACCCCGTTCCAAGTGTACATGTCTTTCAACTGCAGGATATAATGCCCAAAGATTGCAACTGCTACCTGAAAATGTGGTTCTACAAATTTGCTGACCTCCTAGGCTAAGAAAGTACATTAAGTCTAAATATTAGGAGTGTTTTGTGTTTTATTAAACACTTTGTGTTTTTATTAAGCACACTGTAGTAGCAAGAAAAACACATTGTTGTAATCAGTTTTCTTTCAGATTTTGTTGAAATTATCAAGTATATTGAATTGTGACACATTTTTGGCGAATGGAACCAAATCGTGAGCAGAAAAAAAAACCTTGATGCTGCGCACAGGAAACGGTAGCCCAAGGAACACAATTTGGACTTACGGTCCTCTTCGTTCGTATGTCTGAAAGTTCGTAAGTTGAAAGCTCATAAGTAGAGAAGCGTCTGTGTATTACAATGACAGGAAAAAGATGGTTGAAAGCTGGAGAAGCTGCAGCTCACACAGCTCTCAGCATGAGCCAAATGGTACTAAAATACTACCCAAGGAAAGCAGTAAGTATTATCCAAGGACCCCGGCAGGCCTGGGGACTGTTCCGCTGGGCAGGGGGTGCAATGACAGCTCATGATGATAACAACAAACCCGCAAATAAATAACGCGAACTGCTGCACACAGAACATTACCCCAGGGTCTTATAGCAATTAGATCTGCCTCCGCTGTGCTGGTTACCAGCATCTCTGGATTATAAAACAGGGGCGAAGTGAGGTGCTCCACACAGGGTGCACACTTACATATTCGTTGGTAGCCATTTGTTCTCAAGTGCTTTACAATTATTAGCAAATTTGGCACCCCCATTTGATAACGAGCCACCCAGCAGGAACAAAGCTGTCGTGATGAACTGGACATGTGAGTGTATAAAAAGCTAAATACTCCATATATTTAACTAGTACCAGGTCAGAAAGATCGTCCCGTTCTTGCATAATGACTCATGCTGTTATCGCTTCACTGGTCAGTATGTGCCTGTCCCCTGCATGCATCAGAACCTGCGCTACAGACCTGAACAATATATTACAACAAATTACAGTGTAGCAATTTTCAGACCACTTACCAGGAAGTGGGAGTCAGCCTAGTGGTTCGCTGGCTTACTTATTACTTCTGTTTACAGCAATTAAATCCATGTCACTCATTGCCTCACTGATAATTGAGACAAAGATGTTATGAGAAGCAGAGTAATGGAGTCAGAGGATGTAGTTCAGCAGAGGCAGATATGCTGACGTAAAGGTCAGTTTGCTTAGCTCTGCACCATAATATTCTAATGTCCATTTCTTTTTACAAGTCTAAATTGATGTGCTTTATCTATAAAAACTACTGTTAAGCTCTGCATACAGATTCACTTGCATCTAGGGATGGTAAGCCATGAGAAAAGCAGGGCAGGCAACACAAAATAAACAGTTCAAATAAAACAACCCAAATAAAACTTGCAGGCAAGAAATCTTCAGAACTGGATTAAGGAGTTTATAAGGCTAATAAACACTGTAGCAACATGTAAATTTATAACTTTAAATTTAAAATTTCGCTTGACATATCAGCTTTAACTAGACACCTTGAGATGTCACTTCACATTCAAGAAGCTACCAGTCTCTCCTCCCCCCACAAATTGGCTGGCTGGCTGGTCATTGCTGTAATGAATTGCCTTTATGGTTATGATAAGCAAAGGCATTTTATCCTCGACAATGAACAACATTGTATTAAAAGCATAAAGACCGTAGGTGCCCCTGAATGATTTCAGTCTCCTTCCCATCCACCCACCCTCACCTTCTCAATTTACAGTATAGGTTGTGTCTAGGTTTGATCTTGCTCATTCATAGCTTATAGTTAAAATATACTGCCCAGAGCAGAGCAGAGACGGGGAAAAAATGCCCTGTTCATTTCTGTGACAGCCTCTCTCAGCTCAGACACCCCGAAGGAAAAAAAGAAATAAAAAAAAGAAATAAATCATACTGCACACAAATAATTTTGTCTTAGGATCAAGAACGATGAAGGAGAACTTCAGCTATATTTGAACAGCTGATATATATGGGGAACCAAAAAAAAGAAAAAGCTAATGGGAAAAGTAACAACCAGAGGGTGAGAAACATCACTGGGCTCTCTGCCAGGACCTGCAGAGCGAGTGTCTAAGGCTGCAGAAGACCATGGAGCTCCAGGGACACCAATCGGACCATATCAGGCATCCACAGCCATCTGACACCGCTTTTTTCATTCAGCCTCAAAGCTGCCCTACTTCTCGGTGTGGCCGCGCAGCGTGTGTGGATGGAGTTTTAGGCAAGAAGGCAGAGAAGGAGTCACAAAGGAAACCGGACAGCATCTGCCCACCTTCCTGCGCACACAGGATGATCTTTAACGTACAGCATCTGTCCCAAATCCCCACCCCCCCCACACGTCTCACCAACTCGAGGCTCCACGGTCCGGTTTCCATCCGCATCCACGAAGATGAAACGCCCTCCGCCAAAGTCCGTGTGGTAGTCTGACAGGTACAGTAATGACGTGTAGTCAAAGGAACCGTACGTCTCCTGCGTGAAGAGGTCACTATCAGTCCAGGGTCCAGCCCTATTACAATGATAAGGTACAGTGCCAGGCAAAGGTCTGGACATACCTGCCTTTCATGCATTTGTCTCTTTTCAAGATATGTTATTCACCTGATAGTAAAAGACCTCATGGCAATGAAATATGGCAAAGACCAAGAGAAGTGTTCAACATCTCAAAATTCCCTCAAATTTTAGACCCTTCCAAACAGCCTCCTTTTGCTTCCATAACAGCATTGCAGACTCTTGGCATTCTTTCAACCAGCTCCCAGATGTAGCCACCTGAAATGCTTCTCTAACAGCCCTGAAGGAGTTTCCACAGGTTCTGGGCACAAGTTGGCTACCCAAACCAGGGATTTAGGTCAGGGGATTGTGGGGGCCAGGTCATCTGTCACAACACTCCATTTCTTTCCTTGTTCACAATGTGTACTTAGACTCATTATCTTGTTGGAAAAAAAAAACCAAATGATTTTCAGTTGGTGTTTTCAGACTTTTGACTAGTACCGTACTGTGTGCGTGTTCATTAATTTGCAATGGCTAGCTAGACAATAATGCTATTGCCAAAATTATTAATGATAAAACAGTGCCTCTGTACTATAAATTTTTCACAGTAAATGGGGTTAAGTAAACTAAATGACTGAACACTCAAACATTAATTTTATCATTAGAATATTAACTATGGCTTCACTGATTTTTTTTCCCCATGCAGTGAAGCCCACACCAATTATAAACATAAATAAGCAAACACTTCGGGGCAGCTAAATCATTTGTCAATAATGGATAAAAAAATATAGTTGTTCATGAATCATTAATTTAGGTTTTTCAGTGCTAAAATTCCCCAGTTAAGAAAGGAATTCAACCATAAAACCAAACTATGCCGCAATCACAGTTTATGTCGACCTTCTTTATTTCAGGCAGCAGCCTCTTGGCTTGGGGGCACCTTATAACTACAGCTTGATAGATTTCACATGGATGGATCAGGGTAAAGGACAAGAAAACCGAGAGTGAGAATTCACTTCATTCCTCCTTTGGTGATCAGTGCCTGAAAACTGGTGCCACTGCGAGAGTCAGTAACTGTATCAGTACGCTGTGCATGATGACACCTTGAGCTTGAACACAAGTAACGTGGTCAAATCCGCATTTGCACCAAACCATCAACTCTTCTGCTGCTGTTTTTCAGTGCAGAAATGAAGCGATACAGTCTGATCAAGAGGACATCATCCATTAATTTCCAAAGCTTATGTAAAGCTAAGGATGAAAGAGAATAATTGCTCCATTTAACTTACCCGTATTTGTTAGCATTAATGTTAAAGAAAAAAAAAAAAAACTCAATAGGGTTCTGTTAAAAAGAACTATAATGCAGATGCACACAGCCTCCATTCTGAAATGAAAACAAATGTATATGCATTATGACACGGTAAGTATTATAAAATAGCTGTGGATGCATTTAGAACTAAAGATGGAACAGTGCTGCTACTGTATACTAATCATACCGGATCTCTTTGCGTGTGGATGCCTGTGTTTAAAATCACCTTGTCAATGTGAGGGTGCCAATATTCATCATGCGTGGTTTTGGCGGTGCTGCTGTTGATCCGGGAGAAGAAGGTGGGCTTCGTTAGGTACAGCAGTGAGGCGTCCAGACCAAACGTCTCTGCTATCACTTGCTGAATCCTTCCACGTACATCCCTGATATGAAATACTGTATCAAACCTTTGTTTTTTAAAATCACAAATAAACAATATGTGCTCAACTTACAAGACAACCTATAAAAACAGGGACTGTGAATAAGATGGCTGAATGAGAAAGGAGTCAATGTTTGAAAATAATTTTAATGAGGAAACCTCTTACCGATAGAGGTGAAAATCCTCCTCAGAAAATATTTCTTTGATCTGGTCCCCGAAATACCTTCAGCAATTGAGAAGACATGAGATTAAAGTGGTTTTGCCATTTCAGGAAAAAAGAGACCCTGCCTCTCAGCGTTATCAGAAGGTATTGATTAAGACTCATAAGTAAATACACCCAGGAATTCCTATATTAATACGAAATGAGAATTCACAATTGAAGCACGACACGTGGCGAATTCGGTACACATAAGGCCCACCGCCAGAGTCTGAGGCGGTCGCCCCGTTCCCGCTCATAAGAACACCTGCCAATTTGTCATTGCACCTCTGAGCCCTGAGACCTGCTCAGTGAATTAGGAAGAAGCTTTATAGGAGCAGCACAGGACGTGAGCAGAGAGTTAAACACCTCCTGCAGGGCACTGGAAGAGGAAAGAGGGAGCGTTTGACAAAATTACTTATTTGATACCAAAAATAAACTGGTTTTATTATGCATTAAAGTTTCCCGCAGTTGTTCACCTTAATGTAAAACGGAAACCTACATAAAGACCAAATGAAGGGGGGGTCACAGAGTTTCTCCAAGAGCAAAGTAAAGGAAACGCAGAAGAATCATCATATAAAAGGCTGCGTCTGTGGTCTTGAGGGTTTCTCACCTGTAGATATTGACAAACTGCTTCCCCATTGACAAGGCCCCGGAATGCAGGTCCAGGATGGATGCCTGAGGAAGAGAAATGTTAGCAGTAGTAGAATTATTATTAGTAATAATTATTAGTAATAATGTAAAGTACTGGATTGCAAAACGTTTACAGAAATAAATGTCCTGCAAATACAAAGTGTTTCAAATTCGCTTTTTAAAATCTTGCTTATGTTTAACTGACTGTGCTGTTCTCCTGGTCTATGCCATTTTTCTGACACAAAGTATATGACTCTTCAAAGCCAAACTTGTCTATTTACCACTTATGTAATTACCCCCTGCCCATTGATTCATATACCAGAATTCTGTACCTGCGATGTCTGTACATTTATGAATAAATAGATAGATAAATAAATCAACTGAAAGGTCCAGCAGCTATTATTGCATTTTCTGAAGCGCTAAGGTACCGCTCTCACCTGGAAAGCTTTGCGCTAAGATCTTCTGACAAGAAGAAGGATTTACCCTTGTCGTGACTGGCAGTACACCTTACCCATTATTTTTAAACAACTGCAAGTACCACTACATAAAATGTTTTCAGAAAGCAATTACTTTTTGATGCATCCCACAACTTCAGGTGTTCATATATATTCATAGCCTATTTTAAGTGCTAGAAAACCCCATCTTATTCAGACAAGAGATAAGGTAGTATATGACCTGGCAGGCTTTCTGAGGCAATCCAAGAGCCATTAACTAAAGGAACACCACACATACCACTGAATTACAGCCAGACCATGTGCGGCTTAGGGCTGTGCTCGTCATCAGAAAGTCATCAGTTCAAATCCTGTGATTGGCACAGTGAAGCTGCTGTTAGGTCCTTGAGCAAGGCCCTTAACCCCAGTTGCTCCATGCCTTACCCTGTTCTCTGATCCTCATTTAGATGTCACTTTGGACAAAACATCGGCTAAATAGATGCAAAATTCATAATAGTATACAGTGGTACCTCAGTACTCATACTCATTAGACCTCGAATTTCTTAAAAGTTGAACCAATCAGTTCGAAAAGAAATTACCTAGAACTCGATCTGAATCTCAGAAGTCGAACTGTGAACGCCGACCTAAGACAACTTGTATGCGCAGGGAAATGAGTCATACGAGTCTCTCAGCCAAAACAAAGGGTAACGCTTCAGTCTCAGCCTCGCATTCGCTGTGATAGTATTGTTTTTTATTGATAGTGCTTTTTTTAATTGAAAATATCAGGTAATACACTGTACTTTATATCATTTTGGTGGCCATTGCTCACCAAAAAAATTACGCAATAGTTGTACAAATGTTACAACCTAAAAGTTTGCGATTAACAAACAAATTAACAAATACAGAGTAATAATAATAATAAACAATAGACCGCAGTGTTGGGGCATGGCTTGGGGTAGTGTTGGGGTACATTTTTCGTTTTGGAATTCATTAAGAAAAAAATGTTACACACGGTGTACAGTGTTGACGCACAGTGTTTTTAACTTTACTCATTGTTTGGATACATTTTATTTTCTTACTTTACAAATTACTGTTTTGATAAATGTGCTTAGATGTGTTTAGTACAGTATATGCTCTTCTTGTTTTATCCAGTTAATTTTGTGTTTAAATGCTAAAAAAAATTTTAAATAAAACAAACATTTCTGGGGCCGAGAACCAATTAATTGGTTTTCCATTATTTCTTATGGGGAAAATTCGATCAGAACTCGAACTTTTTAGGATTCGAATGGATTAAGTTTGAGTTCTGAGGTACCACTGTACTTGGTAATTTTGTATATCTTTCATAAATACACTGCAGCCTGCCTAGACTGACACATTTTCCATAAGAAGCAAGGTCAAGCAAGGAAACACAATTGATTGAAATGTTAAATGTTTTCCTTGAAGGTTGATATGTTCTTTACAGAACCCACAACCTTGTAATGAATTTATCATTTCCTTCACAGTAAGCAAGCTTAATGTATTGGGGCCGTTTATGAACCATTTTGTGCTGTAGCATCTATTAAGGCACATCCATCCATCTCATTCATCCAGCCACTTATCCTCGACAGCATCACAGAGTTGTAAGACTCTGCCCTCTAGTGTACACTGGCAAAACAGCAAGCCTATTCGATTCAGTTATGCCTCCAGGCATATTAACATAAAGGATGAGAACCTGGACATTATTTTGAAACAAATTGTCACAAAGCCCAGAACAAAACATTTCAACAATTCAATGTATTACAAATTTGGTTAAAACTCAGATATGCCTAAGATGAGGTAGGAAGCATCAAGGTTTTTCATCCACCAGATACCAGGTACTTTTGTCCCTCGTCCATTTTGCAAGATATATCAGCAGTCATGCTGTTTGCATGCAATATAATTTGTGTAATTCATTGGTTGGTGTTATTGTCTGCACTATTGGTTGTGTATTGTCTGATGCAAATAGTTACCATTATTCTTAGTATATATACTGTGTGTATATATAAATATATCTATACACACACACACACACACACACACACACACATACATACATACACAAACACACACACACACAAAGAATTCTGGATTATTTGTCAGAAAAGTACTCACACCTCCATCCGAACCGCCCACTGACAGTCCCCTCTCGGCCAATCTGAAGGACAACAAGGGAAATTTGGCAAACTAGGGTAAAACCATATTAATGTGACAGTGTGTGAGCAGATGTGAGGGTGTGGGCTACGTAATTAGCTTGATGAAAGGGATGCAGTGACAGCTTCTCCATATATCCTTTCACAAGAAGGACAAAGAGCAACTACAGCACCAGTAGTCCTACCTTGACAGACATTTTATAGAAACCTACTTCACAGACTGTAGAGCCATAATTGCCCTCATTTATTAATGAGGCAGAACAGATGAATTTTGTGTATTCATGACTTCCACCATCACTTGTTGAGTTATCCAGAACATACTTCACCTTTTTCCCCTCTATGAGGGGAGAATTACGTCAGTTGGTTCCTTTTCTGCACCTATGCCCCCCAGAATGGCAGTGTACCAATCAAAGACTAATCTTGATTGTTTTTCAATACTTCATTGAACAATATTACCAAGACCACTCCCAAAAACAGCCAAAACAGGATTAAATTCGACTTGGTTTCAGGCAGCTTTAAAAAGTTAAGGGATCATGATACTGCTTAAAAAAAACGTAAATATGGTACCAACTGGTAGCAATGGTAGTAATTCTGATATAATACCTTAGCATAAGTAAATTTGTTTTCCATAATACACAAGACCAATTGCTACCTAAACGTAAATGAGTATAGTATTTTTTCCACGTTATTGTGCATTTTATCCTCCGTTTTATCTTGAGTCACAGTTCATTTGCTTCTTCCTATCCAAGGTCTTTTGGGGTGTTTGTGCGGTTCCGGTACAGTCCTGCTTACCTCCTGAGCACATGCGCCTCTTCTTGAGTGACCATATGGTCCGTTACAGCTCGCCCACAAGTCTGAGGAGTACAACCTGGAGGAAAGGCATGGAGCATCAGATAAAGCCTCATACCAGCTTAGTAGCAGCCCAACAGCTCTGGAAATCAATCAGGAGGGCTGCAGCCTAAACTGACCCTCCGGCACGTCACACCTCAGAATGAAATAGACCTGGCCCGTATTCACAAAGCATCTTAGGGCTAAAAGCAGCTCCTAACTTAGTGGTAAGATAAAAAGCTTTGTGAAAACGGGCCCTGATGAATATGGATTTCTAAACCTCTTCGATTCAGCTCTTAATATTCACAATTTGTACTTCTGCTGATTATTGAAAAGGGACAAATTCTCAATTGGGGCTATGCCTAAGTCCCAATAAAAGCCTACGTTACTATTCATCGGCAGCTCTAGCTTCACCAGAAGGGCCTTTAAAGCAGAACTATTACTGTACCTGTGCATCATTTATCAAAGTGTTACAGATCCTCCAGCATGAATGAAAGCTCAAAAAAAAGGTGAAACTTTGGGAGCTCAATCTACAGGGTGTCCATAAAGTTTCTTAACAATTTCAAAAATTTATTACAGTAGAAAGGCCAATGAAAAGACAGATATGTGGAAATTATTACAAAATTATATATATTTAAGTTTTTTGCCTCATTTAATAAACCTCTATATGGGCATCATTAGTTGCACAAAACACATCAAGATGGTACTGGATTCCTTGCCATGTTCGCTGTAGCATACCCTCATCAATGGTGGCACTGGCATCAGTGATCCTCTGCTTTAGATTAGTGATGTCCCGTACCTTTGTTTACAATGTGATTAAAAACTTTGTTAACCACTGAGTACATAGAACAAATCTGATGAAGATATCTCATCAGTTGCCTTTGTAATATATTTTTGAAATTGTAAAGAGACTTTATGGACACCCTGTAGATTAAAAGACAAATTAAAATTTTGAAAAAGGTGAATTATTTACACAACCTTTAAAACAATTTCCGATGACCATAACTGTCGTCATGCAGAGACAATGAAAGTCAAACGGGAGAAGGAATTACAAACCCTGTTGCCACAAGGTGGCTTTCAGCTCACCTGGGTATCGCTTGTATTTGTTGTAATCCTCAGAGCAGGGCACCTTAAACACTCTTGGCGGCTGAACTATCTCACTTTGCCAGACTAGAGTCTCTGTGATGTCATCCCCCCAGAGAAGGAACAGCCAGCCGGCAGAACAAGCAGCAAGAGCCATCAACACAAGCAGGAAGATCCTTGTTCCAGTCCAGAAGGGAGCATGTTTGGGTGCATTTTGTCTGCATTCAATTAAATGAGAAAACTTTTAGAAATGAAAGGTGGGTTATTGGTAACATTCAATCATACTCTTCAGTATTGGTTGTATTTTGTATTGTCTTTACACTTTTTCTTTGTTCTGCACTATAGGTTTGTATACTGTATGTGCACTCCAGGTACCTCAAAGCTTAAAATTGCAATTGCAATTGCCAAGTAATTTTATGTCCTTATACTTTCTCCGCATAAAAGGTTTTTAACTGTTCTTTCGCTACAAAATGATGGGTGAAAAGCAAGTTTTCAACAACTAAAGCAATTATTGTGGAGTATCAGTGTTGTACACTTAAAGAAAAACCGAGAAATCAGGGATATGTTTTCATTTTAAGAGCATGTCGGTGTAGCACTTTTACACTTGCATTAATACAATAACTCGATTTCGACGTTACTATCAATTTTAACTTTGCATTCTACGGAATATTATATTCCTGATAATAAAAGATGTAGACAATTTACAAAGTATGAGTGCAGTTTTAATGTGGTTATGTATGTAAAGTGTTCAACAACTTCCTGGAACTTGATTCCCTAATAAAAAAAATGTAAATGGCTGGAACTTTAAGGTAATAGCCGAAATTGTGATGTTAAGTTGTAATTTCCAAGCAAAGCAGAGATCGCTACCTTATTGATGACACCTGTCAAATCCCGTACACGTAGGCATGTGAAGGGCGTCATTTTTAACAGCAAGTCAAACATAAAGTAACTTTGGCAGTACAAAATATGAGACTTACCTAATCTTCTTGTAAATACCGTTAGCGTCTGTAGACTTTCCATGAAATCGTCGCTGTATAGCCATGTTTTCAAGCGGATACTGAACATGCACTGACCAGCATGAAACCCTTATGCCATCTGCTCGGTACCTGATCCGGCCAGGGGTCCAGCAACCGCGACAGGCGCGTGTTTCTTACTGGTTATCGGTCCTCGCGGGTCTCTGTAGTTCCTGCCGTGTCTGTTGGATTTGAGAAATGATTGCTGAAAAAATTTATGTCTTAAAATTCATTTGTAGTTGCGACTAATATACAATGCTATATCACTACATTTAATTTAATATGTATTAATAATGTAGCAACAGCTTAGCTGGCTTTAAATGGGTGTTCGTTAAATGTTAAATTAAACAATATATTTAATCGTTGTATCACTTAACACTCATATGTGTATGATTATAAGAAAGTCATATGGAGATTCCTAAAGCTCGTTTACACACTATTCCCTAATTAAAATAACAAATTAAACCTGTGGGCGTTTCTTATGCCTGTGTACGTCCGGGCCAAAGGTACGCAGAGGGAAGGTTTATCGATCGCTCACACTCGGCTCATTGGGTCTGGAATATGCAGCAAGACAAAAATAATCGATATGTCTGCGAGCCAGGAAATAACCTAGGCTTTGAGAGACTGCCTTTTGCTACGCTGGGTAAGGCATTATATTTTCAGTTGGATCACAAACGTTTCTTTTAGCAACACCTGTTGGATTGTTTGCCAGAGAGAGCGTCTTATTACTTGTCGTCAATGTAATAGAAATGCATTCATATTTGGTAGCAAATGGGCGTAATTAATGTGTTAATGGAATGTAAACAAGCTCTTCGTAGTGTTTAGATGGTTGTAATTACGTGTTTGGTGTAACGGCATTATTAATACTGTTAATGATAATAAAAACCTAAATGTTAATTATACGTAGTTTTTTGTGGTTAATTTATACTACCTTTAACATCACCTTAGCTATCAGATGTAATTTGTGGTTTTGAGGGAAAAGTTCGCGAACCCTCTGGATTTCTTTTAAAATCTAACATTCATCTTAGTTGTAAAAATGAAGACAGTATTGTTTATCGAACAATAACAACCAGTTTATTTCGTATAACCAATGTTGGTGATGGGAAAACATTTGTGAAGACAGAGGGGGCGCTGCAGTATTACTAACGCTGGGCTCTGTTCCATCCACAGCAGAACTCTGTGGGATACTGAGTGTATATTCTACATCAGGGGCGGGCGATCTTATCCCCAAAGGGTCGGTGTGTATGCTGGTTTTCGCTGTAACTCCTTAATTAGATTACTAATTATGGAACTGATTGGCTGAAGGGCCCTTACACCTGGGTTTGAACAGCTGACCTACAGGTTTTCCCAAATACCTGCATACATGCCAGCCCTTTGCGGATAAGATTGCCCACCCCTGTTCTAGATGATAAAATGCCCACTTGACGCTCCAAAGTTTTTCATGTTGGGGAAAAAGGCAGCAATGAATATCGCAGAGCTTTGGAGTAGTGAATTCCAAGAATATCCTGTTGGGTCTTGTCTTTTCAACCTTACTGCTGTCCAAGACATGGCAATGACACTTTTTCTGGATCACTGGGGATTTCCCAGATTATAGAAAGCTGTTTTGTGTCCATATTGCACAAATGATGCCATTGAATCTGTCTCTTCAGCCTTGTTTATATTTATTTTTTGTATTATGCAATGTTGTGCAGTTATATAGGGATATTTGTAAGAATGCCAGAAATAGAGTCAATAATACAAGGGTAAAAAAGGGTGACTGTGTTTTATAGTAAATACGTTTTTTCATTAAATTCCTCTTTTGGGAGTTTGTTTGCCCAGTTTGCTATTTGTTTATGAATGGCAATCACTCCAGTGAACCTGAATAGAGTGTCACACCAGTCTCATTACTTTTCAATTGGTCAACAATGCACACACCCAAATTTAGTTTCGTCTCTTGACCTCACCTTAGTTTTGTCCCTTGTGAGTTGGTTTTGCTCTATGCCCAGCCTCCATAAGTTGTGATAAGGGAAGTCTGCTTGTTTTTTCCTGTGTCATGAGGTTCTGTTCCCCATTCCAACCAGAATGGTACACATAGCAATTAAGATGTAGCAACTTTTTTGTTTTTTTTTTAATTATCTGATGCAATAAATGTTTGTAACCTAGAACCACCAATAAGAATATAGACAATTAAGAAATGTTTTAGTAGAATCCATGGTGCATGTCACTCTTGAAAAGATCTGATGGAGTAAATTGCTTCTAATTTTGGTTTAACATTAAAAACGGCAGATTTTGCAAAACAGAAGGTTTGTGGTTTCACTGCATTTATTTTTGAACATATTCCTCTGTAATTCTGCCAGGATTTGAGTGTAATGTTTTTTCTTATATAATGTTAACAAAAACAACTCAGTGTTGCATGTAACACGAGACATGACATGGAGCCAGATGCATGGAAGAACCTGTGCACATGAAGAAAAAGAATAAATTAGTTGGATCTGCAGATCATGCGGATGTATTAGTATAAGATGTTATAGGCAAGAGGGAGGAAGAATCAGCTCAGCATGATGTCATAGAAGGATTTAATGTTATCATTCAAAGATGCTGCAAATTGGAGTGATCGGTGAATCATCATTGTATCACTTTTACGGATAGTTTTTTTGTTTCTTGGCTTTCAAAACTGAATAACTCTGATTACTGCCTTTCCCTGCATTTCAGATCCACACAGCTAACAGAACATGAGCGTCCCACCATGGAGCAGTGGAAAGAAATTAGTTCACTTGGATCTCAAAGGGGCTCCTCCCAGAATCGCATACCTGCAAAAGGTACCATCAGCTAACTATTAAGAAAGGTATCCGGCCCTGAAGGGTCCACGACTGATGACATCAGTATTATGAAATGTAAAACGCTTTAGAATTTTCTGTCTTCTCTATGTATATATGTTGTTATATAACATATGTATATATGTTATTAACAAAAACAACACAATGTTGCATATATCATGAGACATGTGCACATGAAGAAAAACGAAAGAACCAACGAAATGGTAGCACATTTACATAACTAATTGCACTTCAATTTATAGACATTTGTAGACACAAATTGCACTTTTGTCTACAAGATGGTGACGTAAATTTAATGTCTAATTCTGGTTATTGTCCAGTTATGATAATCCATCAGTCCATCCATCTCCCATCCACATAACTTAGGGTGATTATGATCAATGTTACCAGAAACAATTTTTGTTATATCAAATGTTGAAATTAACTGAGACACTTTTTAATACTTAGTAGAATCCACATGGTAGTTCCATTGGGAAGCCTAAAAACGTAGACAGAAAAGATGACATTTTGGAGAAATGCCATCTATGTGGCCCACAGAGCTGCCGTTAAATTTAAATCGGCATGGAGTTGCTTTAACACACGTCGTTTGTATCCCGTTTCCATTCCCGTCTCTCTAGCTGATACCCCTGTTTGCTCAGCTCGGTGCCCATGGGTTACTGTTGGAGTATGAGGACATGTTTCCCTACGAGGGGACGCTGGAGGTCCTGCGAGCTACCAGTCACTCCCCATACAGGTGTGGCTTATCAGCTATCCTATCTGGTCAATAAGGTTTCAATACTAATTCATTTGTGTTGCAGAGGCTTCTTCTGCATACTCCAGTTTCCTACCAGAGTTTAAAAACATGCATATACGCTAAGTGGTGTCTATAATCTTTACTTGAATGTGGGGCTCAAATGTCCCCAAAATATGGGGTAAAACCTGTTACTTTTTAGCTTGCAGGGACATTTTTCAGGTCCCCTCAATATAAACCTCAGTTTTATAAACATCTGTGAATGCAATCAAAAAACTAAAAGCGAAAAGTCTTGTACTTTGCCTGGTCTCTTATGGATAAGGTTAGGGCTAGGTGAGGATTAGGGTTATCATAGTTAGGGTTAGGGTTTTGCCCATATAAATGAATGAAGAGTTCCCACAATGATTGCAATACATGAACTGTGTGCGTGTGCGCGTGCCCTGTGATGAACCGGCCCAGTTCAAGGTATATGGTTAGAAGGTGGATGATTGTTTATTTGTTAGTAAATATACATTAAATTAGTAAATATTTGATTATTATTCAGGCCATCCATTTACAACAATTGCTCGTCCTTCAGGGCAATTGTTGCTCAAAGCCTAAAGTTATTTGGTTGACAGTCCATCACAGGGACTGCATAGACGCACCCAGACAGGTTCAGTGAGTGCTGAAGGTGCTGGAGTGTGTGGAGGGCCGACTTCCAAACACAGGAAAAAAACAATGTGCAGCTGACAGAGCAGGAGCTGGGATTTAAACTCGTATCCCTAAATCACTCTTGTTTGGAAATAAAGCTGTATGTTTAGTTTAATGAAATGAGCCCAAGCTGGTGAGGTTCGTTTGCAATTCTGAAGTGCTTTTCACAGCTATTGTACATCAGCACTCTGCGCCTTTAGCTATGTGGACATATTTCTTGGACACATTTTAATATTATCAGTCACTGCCAGGTGCAGTAGCCAATGAATGAATGAATGAAAAGAACAGACATTGCATAATACTACATGTTTATATTGCAATATATTGCAGTCTTAAAACTTTAATTAATTTGTAAGTGGTGTGTTTCCTAAGTGTGATGATCATTCCTAGTGTTCTTCTCCAATGCAGTCGTGCAGAGATCCAGTCAATTCAGGATGCAGCCAGATCCAGTGGTTTGGAGGTTATTCCCCTGGTTCAGACTTTTGGACACCTTGAGGTGAGAGTGTAGGACCCATTCCATTAGTTTTGCTCCATAATCTTATCTGTTGGAGATCTCCACCATTTGTTCTAAACATGAGTGGATGCAATCGGTCAATGAATGTATCTATTTTCACTTATGAAGTGTGAGCTCATATTTTAAATTAATTTTAAGGTCACCTCACTTCTGTGCAGTTTGTCTTAAAGCACCAGCAGTTCTGGGATCTACGGGAGGTTGGTTACTGCCTTGGGACCCTGAATCCAAACAAGCCACAGAGTTTGCAGCTTGTGCTTGAGATGGTGCGGCAGGTGCTGGAGTTGCATCCTGACAGCAGATACCTGCATATCGGGGCAGATGAGGTAGGGAACCTATAACAGGAAAAACCATTTCCCGATTCCAAACAAGTTACGGCCCGTAACAAGTAATATAATAGAATGAAATGCCTTTATTGTCATTGTACAGAGCAATTACAAGGAAATGCACAAGTAGTGATATACAGGGCTGCATGATATCCCATCGTGATCATTTGAAATAATTGAACTTAATATTGTGCTCTCGGTGAAACGAAAATGGAGATTAAATTTTCCATGAAATAAACCAAAGCAAACAGAACTTATTATTTACCGGTAGAGTAGGTTAAGTTGCTGGTGCTGCTTCGAGTTGTGTCCACAGACACAGATCTCTGCCAACAAATGCAATGTCATTACAGGGCATTAGATAACAGGCATAAGAATTTGTCTGGGCAC